CTGTGCCCTACGCCGTAACGAGTGTTTCTCTGTCGTATCAGAAATATTGGCAGAAACGCAAGAAATCCCATCACGTTTATCTATTCTTGTGGTTGTCTTAAGTGAATAAATGTTGTTACATCTGTTTGCTAACGCCTTGTAACCGAGCATAGCTATGGTGTTATTTGGGACCTATAATTCATCCATGAGCGCCGGGGGCACGGGTGGCCCAGTCGTCTAAGGCGCCGCGATTCGCTGTGCAGAGTTGCGTCCCTAGGGCACGCCAGAAACCTATGATTGTGGGTTCGAATCCAGGTTCGCCCCGATTATGTTTCTAGCTTTGTCAGCACCATACCCATGCTCGTAGGTTTCACCAAAGTGGTAATTGTCTGAGACCTGCATCACTTCGGGCTTTCCTCCCACATTGAGCTGACACGCCGTGTGTAACTGGAATAATGTTAAAAGCGGCGTTAAACCCAACTCACTTACTCACTCACTCCATGAGCGCCAACAGTAGCTTTAATGATGATGCATCGATAAGAAATATTGACTCACACATTGAAACACCAATCACGCTCAGGATGATAAAAAAATGCAACGTGTCAAAATGAACATTGATGAATTCCCCCTTTTTCTCTCACGAAAATGTTCCGGTTACAGCTGCACCGATGCATCAACCCAAACGTATTCTCTTGTGTCCTAAAGGAAAATAACTCCATTTGAAAAGATACCACAAAGTGTCTTTGAAGGGCCACCCGCTAAACACCAAGAACCTATTACATATCCTTTGTTCCTATCCCAAAATGGAACATCACTGACACATTTAAAATTTGGCTTAATTACTAATGATAAACACATACGGCCGCGATGTCTATTTACATGGAAGCTGATCAAAGTGTTTGTTTGGCAGAACGACTACAACAAAACAGCTCGTGTCAAAAGGCCTCCAGCTGTTATGGAAACTCGACGGTTTACGAAACAGTTACCAGCTCTCCATTACCGCGTGTCTGTTTGGTGAAAGGTTGTTAAGAAGCCCGAGTTCTGTATTCCTCGGACAACACAATGGCTTCTCTGTGCTCTGAGAGTGGCAATGGCTAGAGTGACGTACAGTGTCACGGGTGTCCTCTTGTTCCATCCTGCTTTTGGTTTGAATCACACCGTGATGATGTTGTGTTGACGTATGTGTGTACTGAGAAGTGAAACCACTAGTTGTGTGTACTGAGAAGTGAAACCAGTAGTTGTGTGTACTGAGAAGTGAAACCAGTAGTTGTGTGTACTGAGAAGTGAAACCACTAGTTGTGTTGACGTATGTGTGTACTGAGAAGTTAAACCACTAGTTGTGTTGACATGTGTGTACTGATAAGTGAAACCAGTAGTTGTGTTGACATATGTGTGTACTGAGAAGTGAAACCAGTAGTTGTGTTGACGTATGTGTGTACTGAGAAGTGAAACCAGTAGTTGTGTTGACGTATGTGTGTACTGAGAAGTGAAACGAGTAGTTGTGTTGACGTATGTGTGTACTGAGAAGTGAAACGAGTAGTTGTGTTGACGTATGTGTGTACTGAGAAGTGAAACCAGTAGTTGTGTTGACGTATGTGTGTACTGAGAAGTGAAACCAGTAGTTGTGTTGACATATTTGTGTACCCATTTCTGGTGTCCCCCACCGTGATAATGCTGGAATATTGCAAAAAGCGGCGTAAAACCATATTCACTCACTATGATTGATAGTTTGAAACAGTCTCGATGGGCAAACAAGGACTGCTCTTACAATTAGTTTTGTCAGATTTTACCGCACATCAAATAGAAACATTGCTACATATGAAACTTAAGATATATGTTTTAAAACCTTTAAAAATACTGGCTATCGACTGTAAGAATGTAATGCTTTTTGCCTTTAACCATATACCCAGAGCCTCATACACATGCCATCAGGGGCGGTCGGGTAGCCTAGTGGTTAAAGCGTTCGCTCGACACGCCGAAGACCCGGGTTCGATTCCCGACATGGGTACAATGTGTGAAGCCCATTTCTGGTGTCCCCCGCCGCAATATTGCTGGAAAATTGCTAACAGCGGCGTAAACCCATACTCACTCACTCACTGACTCACATGCCATCAATGGTCTTCGTATATATAACGTCACCTCTAAGGTCTGAGGTCATGAAACATGTACTTGCTTAACATGAACCCTCTTAGCGCAAATCACTGGTGCCAGTGTTACTCTTCTCATTTCAACAAAGAACACCAGTGTCCTTACAGAAAAATGTACGATCATCCACACATGCGGTAACATAGCCCACAATGTTCGTTTCCAGATATCTCAGTTAACTGAGTAAACACGGTAAGAACCACGATATGGCTCCTCCAGGAACTCCTGGAATTCGCTGTTGACGTCAGCCGTTTGGTCAGTGATAGCGAGGTAATGAGACGTTTATGTTATATTGTAAATATTGTGTTCTGCCTGTAGTAGACCCATTTACCATTCCTTAAACTAGAATGTGGTCTTAGAAATGCCACCCCAAATTTTACGGTTTATGGAGAACCAGGTACAATACCTTTTTCGATTTATGCAGCTAAACGGCTTGTTGTCTTTTGGCATAAACTGTGTAAACCCGGACCTGCATCGAAACTATCACAAATTATTTATAAGTTTGCTCATTTGCAATTTTTATCTTATAATGAACAAAATGCCTGGATAAAAAAAGTGTGAGGCAAAGACTTAATAAGTGTGGTCTGTCCTATGTATTTTACGACCCACAAAGCGTTTCAAGCGTTTCCAACTTTAAAAGATCAGTTTTATCAAAATTGGAGATCTGACGTCGAGAGAAGTTCAAAAGGGTATCATTATAAATATTTAAAAGATATCCTGTCATTTGAAAACTTTCTTCTCCTATCTAAACAAATGTATTATCCTATTCTAAAACATAGAACCTGTAACCATAATCTACCTGTCGAAGTTGGTTGTTGGCTTAGTATAGAGAGAGAACTTAGGACATGTAAACTGTGTATGTCGCAAGCTATATATCCGATGAATTCCACCATCTGTTTAAATGTGAAGAGTTCGGTGAATCTCGAATAAATACACGCAATTTCGGAATATAATAAAATGCCAAAAAATGTACCTGAAATGTAAAAGAAACAAAAAAACTTGCAAAATTCATATGTATAATAGATAAGTACCTTTGAGTGTAACTATGTATATGTATGTTTGTTTATGTAAGTGTTTCTGTTTAAATGTTCGTACAAATCTTCAAGCAAAATGTTTATCGCCAAATATTTGTACGGTATAACCGACATCTTTTTAAATGCTAATTATTGTCATGTTAAAAAAACGTTTTCGGGTGTAACACCGTGGGTGCTTATTTTTTTAGAAATAAATGATGATAATGATGATGATGATGATGATGATGATGGTGTTATTGACATAACTTTCTGTCATGCCTATGAGGATGTCGTAACTGCTCATTGTTTGTCTTCTGGCAGATATCCACGAAGCACACAGAACCATGAAGATTACATGGAATTTTAAGAATCTACTCGGTTCACATTAAGCGTTTACATTCGCACGTTTTAGGTGCGACTTTATAGCAGCTGATAAATGTCAAGAACGTATGTTATCGGAGGCAATAGCGAAGTCCGTATGTTTAAGAATTTATTATCTTACAAAAGAAAAGACCCGCAAAAACACCTTGTTTGCTCTTTGAATGTTCTTTTTGCCCGAAATAATCGAACACTAAAACGACATGACTACTCTCCGCTCTCATACAGTGAAACACCGCACTTGAAATCGCCCTCATGAAACAAATTTCCGGATAACGAATCTTGGTTCTGGAGAATGTACACATGTTGGTGTTCCCAGCAGTAATCGTACTGCAGGTCATGTGCCCGGGCTAACGGGGTCCGGACTAACGAGGTTTCACTGTACTTGACACGAGATCTCTGACACAGTGTTCATGGTCTCATGTATTATCCTGTATGTAAGACCTGTGGAAGACCGAGCCAAACAGTTGTTTCCGACAACCCTCCGTCTGGTGTAGATCAAAGGGACAGATCGATGTCTCTGCAGTAACTCTTCAAGCATGCATCGTCTCTCATCTGATCGATGTCTGTTCAAAGAGGCCAGCCGCGGGGTGTGACGGTGTTTTTCACAAGAGACAGCGACCTGCAAGGCGCCTCATCTGCTTTATGAAGGGCGATAACAGATAACACAGCACGGTAGCATGTTTCGACTCACCTTACGGAAACCTTTAATAATATTTACACCTTATAATGTGTAACGAACCTGGCTCTGTTCATATTTCCGTCACAATGTCACTCATCCAAACTGACCTATCTGTCGTGAGGTAAAATTCATTCATAAATGTGTTTGTTAATGTCGGAGGTGCAAGTGTCTGACAGACGATCCCGTATACATATCGTCTTGTGTAGGTTCAAGGCACAAATCAATGTCTCCACAATAGTCAAGTGAGTGAGTGAGTAAAACTTAACATCACATCGGCAATATTTCAGCTATATCGTGACGAAGTTCCTCAAGTATACACCATCTCTCATCTAATCGATGTCTTGTTTCATCAGCGAGAGAGAACTGCTTTACCGATAATTACACGTAACACATCACCATGGCATGGCTCGGAGCTCCTTCCGGAAACCTTTGATAATGAATACACCATATAATGTGTATCGAGCATGGCTCTGTTAATATTTCCGTAACACGATCACTCATCCAAACTGATCTTTCTGTCTTGCAGGCAAATTCTTACAGTGTCTTAAAAGCAAAGACTACATTATTATTAAGGCACATTATTACCATTTCATATCTGGTATTGCATATGTCCAAATAAAACACTGCTGTTAACAAACGCCGACATTATCGTAGTGTATACGCTCCGGTGACATCTTGACGTTTTTTAATGTAAATTTGGTCCTACGGATTCGCGCGTGCGTTTATTTGTTCTTCTCTTATCACAGTGGTGAGCGAAATCTATTGAAATTGTCTTTATCATCGGCGGAGCAACTGCATGACAGATGATCCCTGACAACCAGCCTGACAACCAGTGTGGCAACCAACCTGACAACCAGCCGGACAACCAGGCGGACAACCAGCCGGGCATCCCATATGACAACCAGCCGGCGACCAGCCTGATAACCAGCCTGACAACCAGTCGGACAACCAGCCTGATAACCATAGTGACAACTAGTCTGACAACCAGCCTGACAACTAGTCTGACAACCAGCCTGACAACCAGCCGGACAACCAGTCGGACAACGAGCCGGACAACCAGCCTGACAACTAGCCGGACAACCAGCCTGACAACCAGCCGGACAACCAGTCGGACAACCAGCCTGATAACCATAGTGACAACAAGTCTGTCATCCAGCCTGACAACCAGCCTGACAACCAGCCGGCGACCAGCCTGACAACCAACCTGACAACTAGTCTGACAACCAGACTGACAACTAGTCTGACAACCAGCCGGACAACCAATTGGACAACCAGCCTGATAACCATAGTGTCAACCAATCTGACAACCAGTCCTGACAACCAGTCAAACAACCAGCCGGACAACCAGCCGGCGACCAGCCTGACAACTAGTCTGACAACCAGACTGACAACTAGTCTGACAACCAGCCGGACAACCAACTGGACAACCAGCCTGATAACCATAGTGACAACCAGTCTGACAACCAGCCTGACAACCAGTCTGACAACCAGTCTGACAACCAGTCGGACATCCAGCCTGCCAACCAGCCGGCGACCATCCTGACAACCAGCCGGACAACTGGTCTAACAACCAGCCGGACAACCAGTCTGACAACAAGTCTGACAACAAGTCTGACAACCAACCTGACAACCAACCCGACAACCAGCCGGCGACCAGCCTGACAACTAGTCTGACAACCAGACTGACAACTAGTCTGACAACCAGCCGGACAACCAATTGGACAACCAGCCTGATAACCATAGTGTCAACCAGTCTGACAACCAGCCTGACAACCAGTCTGACAACCAGCCTGACAACCAGCCGGACAACCAGCCTGACAACCAGTCTGACAACCAGTCGGACTTCCAGCCTGACAACCAGCCGGCGACCATCCTGACAACCAGCCGGCGACCATCCTGACAACCAGCCTGACAACCAGCCGGACAACTGGTCTAACAACCAGCCGGACAACCAGTCTGACAACAAGTCTGACAACCAACCGGACAACCAACCGGACAACCAGCCTGACAACCAGCCGGCGACCAGCCTGACAACTAGTCTGACAACCAGACTGACAACTAGTCTGACAACCAGCTGGACAACCAATTGGACAACCAGTCTGATAACCATAGTGACAACCAGTCTGACAACCAGCCTGACAACAAGCCTGACAACCAGTCTGACAACCAGCCTGACAACCAGTCTGACAACCAGTCTGACAGCCAGTCTGACAACCAGTCTCACAACCAGCCTGACAACCAGTCTGACAACCAGCCGGACATCCAGCCTGACAACCATCTTGACAACCATCCTGATAACCAGCCTGACAACCAGCCGGACAACTGGTCTAACAACCAGCCTGACAACCAGTCTGACAACCAGTCTGACAACCAGTCTGACAACCAGCCTGACAACCAGCCGGACAACTAGTCTGACAACAAGTCTGACAACCAGTCTGACAGCCGATCCGAAAAGTCGCTTACAACAATAACCAATAGTGAAGGGGGCATATACGAACTCTGATCACCACGGGTTTACAACACCATTACACTCCCCACCTGCCTAGCAGATGAAGATTACACCTACTAGTATCGATCAACATTTTCAGTATTAAAGAGTATCCTTTTATGGTTTGCATTGGTCTTTCCTGAAAATAATCTGTGATCAAAATCAGAATATTCCTGGAAATATGGATAGTCACGCTGTATGGATCTTCAATGTTTACAATGCAACTCCATGTATCAATACCCGTCGTCTGTACACTGACACTAATCCCTTCCCTGGATGTATTTTTTATTCCCTCCGTCTTTCCGACGGCGTTCAATGCGTGTGTCGGATGTTGTAGACAGCGTGTTACAGACTTAAAGCATGTGTCCAGCATTAATCTGACAGATACTGGAGGAACAACTACTGGTTTCAATGATGGTGGTGAATACGTGGAAGTACTGCCACTGACAGGTGTTGACACAAAGTCCGTAAGCTCATGACGAGGGGAATTCATTACGTAGATGCCAAAACATGAGGTAGAGATTTGTGAATAGTTATTACCGCTGTTTCTAAAGCGCATTGCCTTTTTAACGTGAGGTTTTGTAGATTCCGGGATTGGATAGGTCTTCAGCAACCCGTGCTTGCCGTAAAAGGCGACTATGCTTGTCGTAAAACGTAAAACGGGATCGGGTGGTCAGGCTCGCTGATTCGGTTGATGCATGTCATCGATCCCAATTGCGTGGATCGATGCTCATGATATTCATCACTATAATGTCTGGTCCAGACTCGAATATTTACAGACCGCCGTCATATAGCTGGAATATTGCTGACAACCAACCAACCAAGAGACACTGTCAATTTAGTTTAGGTCTCAACAAATTTTAAAGTACACTAGCTGTTTTAGTTGCGACTATTGTCTTTTAGATTTAAAACCCATCTTCTGTGTTTTATGCCGCAGAACGATTTGATATAATTCTGTCCATGGACACGAAGCACGGACAGCTTAAGGCAGGTTTCGAATGCTGTCTTTCTAATGCCGGTATCCCTGTAATTTTAAGATCGATAGTGAAGAAATATGACAGCGAAAGTTAATTGTAATTTCTATTTTCCTGGGAACAATCTGATCAGTCAATAACATGATAGTTCAGTGAAGTAATGAAGTCATGAACCAGGTTGGCATGGTGACAAAACATCCCTTTTCTTTTGGGCTCTTTTATTTTAACAGTGCAAATCATACTATATTTATGTAATTAATTTGAATGGATCTGTGTACGGTTCATAAAAACTAGTGGATTTGATAACACAGATGGGTTTTATTTCGCCATGCTTTAGACCCAGGTTCGAATCCCTTAATGTATAAGCATGTCATTTCAGGATTTCCTCCGCAGTAGCTGCCTCCGTGGTCTAGTGGTAGAGCGTCCGTCCGGAGAGCGGAAGGTCCGGGGTTCGATCCCCGGCCGCGTCATACCAAAAGACGTTAAAAGATGGTACTTGTTGTTACCCTGACTGGCGCTCGGCATTAAGGGGCTAAAACATGGACTGGTCGGCTTTGAGTCAGTATAATGTGTCTTGGTGGGGTATTCATGTTAAACTGCGGCATGGTATAGCTAGCACTATAAATCAGCATCAGTCCGGACTAGTACAAGCAGCCACACACACACACACGTACATGCACGTCGCTATATAAGTGCAATAATCTTGGACGCGACGTTAAACCCAATTTCACCTCACCTCACCTCCTCCGCACTATCGCCTCAAAAACTTGACTCATTCTAACATAAGTAACCGATGGAACTATGTTTTTTTGTAACAAACCTTCTCCAAACCTGAGTATTACATGTACCTTTCTTTTATATGTGCTTTGCTACATATTTCTCACGAAGCAAAACAGAAATATCTGAAACAGTTGAAAATAAACATTGTGCATATTCGTATCGCTTCAGCGGAAATTCTCCATTTAATATTTGAATGAAAAGTAATTTTGGCCGAAATAATTAATCATCTGTATATCAGACATTTTTTTTAAATTTTGACCCTCGCAAATATCCACAACGTTTCTGTCAGAACTAAGAGCCTTCACTCGGCACTGAATTGCTGTCCTTACGTCAACTGTTGTGTCACCATTGCCTCTATATACAGGGGGAAGTCCAGGATGGAGGTATCTGTCAGTACAAACTACCATAACACACACGGGTAGGTAACATGAGTGAGTGAGTGAGTTGGGTTTAACGCCGCTTTTAACAGTATTCCAGTTATATCACGGCGTGTCAGCTTAATGTGGGAGGAAAGCCCGAAGTGATGCAGGTCTCGGACGTTTACCACTTCGGTGAAGCCCACGAGCACGGGTATGGTGCTGACAAATCTAGAGACATAATCGGGGCGAACCGGGATTCCAACCCACAATCATAGGTTTCTGGCGTGCCCAAGGGACGCAACTCTGCACAGCGAATCGCGGCGCCTTAGACGACTGGGCCCCCCGTACCCACGGGAAGTAACATGAGATGCCTTCGTGATAACATTACGACATTGAATGAAGACATAAACCAAAAACATCACCATTTACAAATACAGTACTTTACAAATACTGTATATTTTAATTCAAATGTCTCCCTACAATTGTTAAATTACTTGGTTTCGTCGCTGGAGTGTGTAAATACATTGTGACGTCACAGTTGTAATTTATGACGTCAACATAAGTATGGCGTCATTCATATGTCATTGTAAGTTACACTGAAGAGCTGTCATGAGACAGTGAAAGTACTGTCAGAAACTGATATAAAGAAGATGTTGGACTAACGTGGACTAGATATATGAGAAACCTTATTTGTCCAAACACTGTAAACATACTTTCAGACATATTAAACAGATGAAAACTGATCATCAAGGTTGAAATTAAGGTGTCAAATGTTCCTAAAGTGAAACACAACACATGTGTCTGAGAAAATGGTCAGTATCTCGTGTGTCCGTCATGTGCATTGATGACTGCCTTGTAACATCGATACATGGAATGGATGAGGCGGTTGAGCCCACACTCTGAGGACCGCCTGATGCAGTTCAGCTGCAGTTGTCGGCCTTGGTCGGACGTCATTCAGCCGTCTTTGAATCTCGTCCCACAGGTGCTCAATGGGATTTAAATCGGGAATGAGGGCAGGCCACTGCATGGTTCTGATGCCATTCTGCTGGAGGAAGTCTCTTGTTGCTCTCGCACTGTGGGCACGGGAGTTATCATGCTGAAACTCGTGGCGCGCAGACGTGCCAAATGAGGTATGGCGTGTGGATCAATGCACCGAGCTGCTGTGACACCATTGCCTCTCCCTGGACCGATGTTCTTGAAGACCACAGGGCCGACCCTCTGTGCAAGACCAATTCCACCCCACACCATGATGCTCGGGGCACCCAACGAGTCTCTCCCAACAACACAAGCATCCGAATAACGTTCCCCAAAGCGTCACCAGACTCTCTGCCATCTGCTGTTGAGATACAGTAACGGATCTTACAGATACAGTAGGGGGACTCTTCTCCACTGCTGGTGGTGCCAATGCTGGTATGCTGGTGCTGTGTTGCCCACTGAAGACGGTCCCGGCGATGACGTGGTGTCAGAATGGGTCCTCGGTGTGGCCTCTGACAGTGGAGGTGTCTGCTCGTCAATCGTGTGTCCGCACTAATGTGTCGCTGGTGTGTCCCCATGGTCTGTCGAGCAGTTTCCGCAGCAGTTGCTTCGGGTCACCATGGCCGTTGCCGTGATGCGTTTGGGCGATCGGGTTTATTGTCATCTGCTTTGATTTTTTATCATCAAATTTAATTTTTCCGGACAAGGTAATGTTAAATTTTAGAAACTTTGACCAAAGTTACCCAGATATTTAAATGACAACTTTTCATGTTATGTTACTTGGGTCGACGTTTCTTTTGCGGTTCAGTATATATATGTGGGAAGAGGTGTCTGGGGCATTACTTATAAGTCATTCAAATTACGGATATACATTTTGTAACTTAATGCATCTCTCTGTGGATAAGCCTATTTGTCAAATTTTCTCGATCATCAAATAGCTCAAGGACATAGAGCCTTCTGCTTTTTAAAGCATGACAGATAACACCTACAACGTCGATAGACTGAGAAATGGACTAACACTGTCAAGGATGTTTTAGAGATAAGTGAGTGAGGCACTTCAAGTAGGCATGAGGCATATTGGCTGTACAAAATACGACAGTTAACATATAATTTTTCAGTTTGAAGACGTTTAATGAATTTAGGTACTCGTTGTTCACCAAGTTAAAGGCGGACGATGTGGACTACGTTTGCAAACGAGCAAATGTTCCGTTCAAGATGGGCATACCCGGCCTAGTATCCCATTTCCAAGGAATGGACATTATGATTGAGAGCCCCGTGTGAAATGAAGACATTGTCCTTCTGTATTTAATCTTTATATGCCTTTTTGAGATTGCAGACAAAACAATCGTGTTCGATTTGCCAGACCAATAACTCCGAACTTAGAATACGTTTTGACACAAAAAACACGATACGGTCCATTATTACTGCACAAATTATATGTTTCACGTACTTAGAAATATAATCATTATGGTAATAGCAGGTATATTACATGTACCAGTTAACTGGCAGCAATAATCTGCAAGTCCAAGTTTGGAACAGTTGTGGCTCTTTTAAGTTGCATCACGATATGATGGAAATGTTGCGGATGTGATATTTCATTTGAACTCACTCACTCACTTTAGTCACTTATGTTCGGAAAGACCAAGCACGTTATCAACGTTGTATCATGTGCTGATCCTGTTAATTATAGACGCCACAACATTATCTCTAACAAGGCACTGCGGGGATTGTACATTCCGGTGGCCGAATGTCCCTGATGCATGGAGGATCCAACATAATATCCTCAACAGAATGTGACCAGAATAATGAATAAGGTCAGGTTGTGCTCAAACTT